GAGTTCCATAGGAAGCGACGATTATTGAAGTGGATGTTATCACTTGAAACCCAAAGTCCATGCGTATGTCAAAGTATGATATAAGGATCCATGACCCGTGTTGAGAATCCTAGACATATGGTTGGCCAGGGAAAGATACCTTAATATGGTTTCTGATTGGTGATTGTTTGAGTTGATGAACTCAAGTGGCATGCTTCCATACATTGTAAATTTTGTGAACTTAATTCTTTTTCCCCTTTATGACTTAAGTTAGGTATTTGATTAGGACCTTGTAGAGCCAAGTGGTCCCATAAAATAGGGAACCCACTGGAGTTATTATCTTACCCCATGTTTGTTGATTATTTTCAGGTAGTCCTGAGCAAGTGAAGGGTAAAGACAAGATAGTTTGATGTCCTTGCTTGTTTGATATTTTGGATGGCTTTTCTGCTGTGTAGATATTTTTGAGATCATTCTACAATGATATGGTTCCTAGTTTTATTTTGGTCATCCTTGTATTTATTGTGCAATAGTTGTAGTTTCTTTTGGGCATGTAATATGTACAATATTTTCACTAGGCACTTATATATTTCAGTACCAACATTACAACTATGTATAATATGTATTTATAGACATGTATATATATGGGTGTTATAGAAAATCTCCAATCCATTAGCGAAAATTCTTTGTAGATTTAGTGGGGACCCTTTGGTGTGTGGTAGATTTCTCTGTTTGTCTATAGTGCTCTACAAATTTTTCTAGAAACCTTATAGTCCCTCACTTGGTGACTAACTAATTAACTTATGTAAAAAAATTGATTTTTCTCTGTTAAAAAACTTCTCTTTATTTGAATCTTTACGGCACATATGATTTTGAAAAACATTACTGCAATTGTTGACTTGTTTTTTTCTACATTATGTGTTCATTTATCTTGGTTTGGTGAGCAACTTGTTGTTTTTTCCTTGCATTTTGTCTTGATATTTCTCTATTATTTTACAAACATATTTAATGCAGTAGCATATTATACAAATCATCTTGCTTTTATTTCGCTGCAACAACCATTTTGGCAATTGGACTTTGCTGCATAAGTTACTTAGTAACTTGTTAACTTGAATGCTAAATGTTTAGCTTGACCATTTTTCCTATTTTTTGCGTAATAGGTGTTTATTGTGATAAACATAGCATGGAGGTGAATATTGGCTCATGAAGTTTACTTGAAGATGAAGAAAGGATAGAAAAAGAAATTTTGAAAGAAACTTAGGCCTTAGGGTGTTTATATCAATGTTAAAGAGTTGTAAATTTGTAGAATCTTGGTATATCATGTTTGACATGCTTTCCATTTTGTAATACAACTTAGTTAGATCAATGCAAAACGAAAATTGTTTACATAATGCATATGCTTTAAATTCATGTCATGTGTCCATTAGGAATGGCCACCAAATTACTAAGAAGGTTCAATATATGCCAATAAGAACAAAGGAAATAACATATAAACAAAATTTTAAACCAAATAAATAGATCCAAAAGAGCTATACTTAATTCATAAAAATATTGTTCCCATGCTACTCATAGTAATCTTGTAATGCCAAACAATAAAAAAATTAGACATGCCAAACACCAATGTAAATGGATAACAAAGGGTGCAAAAACTCATGAGCCACCTTAATCTTATCCATATTAATGAACATGCCAAGACAAAATGTAATGCATGAAAAAGTGATGCATAAGGATGCAGAGGATCAAGACCATGGTTGACTTTCTCTTAGACTTTATTGATGAATGAGATCCAATGGGATATATGTCATGCATGATAATGAAAGTCAATAAGATATTCTCATACCAAGAATACATCAACTTGTTCAAATGACCAACACACTCAAGTTGGACTTTGGTCCTTGGTTATTGTAATTAGGAGATATAGATGAATAACTAGGGTGAGGCAAAATTTAGGGTGTGACAGACTAATATCATCAATTTTAGTTAGAAAATACTTATGTTCGAGAATTGATGGGCAAGAGATAAGTCCCCAAATATCCATGTTGACAATTTCAAATATTTACTTATGCTATCAGGAAAAGTTAATCATTTTTGTTTAGCATGAAAACTAGTATCACAAAGATTATTGGATTTGTGCAACTTTGGTAAGGAAAAGTTTTATTTATGTGAAGCAAAGTGTCATAAGAGAGGTTGCCAAGTCTGTTATTCCATATAGTACAATTATGGATATTATTATGATTGGGGATGTTAATACATGTGTTGGGAACATTTTGGGCAAAATAGGGTAAATAAAGGTGTATAATCCTTTATGTAATTTAGTTGCACCAATCTTCATCAGCGTATGGGTCCCTTGTATCAGACAGTGAGAATATGTAAAAATGAAAGTACAGTTTAAAGAATGAGCCAGTTTAGAAACAAATATTAAATTAGTAGAAGAATTTAGAATGTATAAAACATCATGTAAAATGAAATCATCACTAAAGTGAACCCAAAAATTTTGTTGTTAAATAGGCTCCATTGGGAAGCCAGACAATAATGGGTTTCATAGGATTAAGAGAAGATATAACATTTTGAAATGGAACACGTGACCGGTTGTGCTAATGTCCAAAAGTCAATCGTTAATATTCGTAAAATCACATAGGGATGGAATGAGATCGTCGTTCTCCTTCACGAATGCAGAAGAGAAACAAAAAAAACGACGAAGGCAGAAAAAAAAGGGAAAAGGCAAAATAAAGAAATATGAAAAAAGATTATCGTGAAGATGAAGATGGAACGCGATTTCCATGTAACATTATTGAAGAAAATAAACAAAGTGAGAAAATATAAGAAGAAGAAATTAAGGTTCGGTGAAATGAGATTTTATGGTTTGTATATGTATGAGAAAGAGATATGAAGAATCAAGAACAAAGTGGTGATGGTGTTTGAAATCAAGAACAAATGAATGGTAATTGGGGTGAAGAAAGTATATTGTTTTTGCATGCAACAACGAGAGAGAATCGAAATGTCAAAATGAGATAGCGAGAATGGATTGATTTTACAATTGGAACGAAAAAGAATATAGCGATAAAGATGAACTCTTGGGAAGAAAATGGGATGAAGACACGTGTAGATGAAATTTGCAAAATGGCAGGGATAAGAGAAAATGAGAGATACTAAAAATATGGGTGTGTAATACCCTAATTTTTACCCCTAAGATCTCACATTTCATTTGCATCATCGCATACACAAACAAGATCATACCCTATGGTTCTCTCAGCACCCCCGTTGTTTCTTACTTACTTTATGTTTGTTTCTGTTTACTAACCTCTAACCAAAGTACCAAAAATATGATATAGTTTGCTTGTTTCTTCTTCTCTGTGTTTAGGGTTTTACAGGGTTGTCAAAATCAGGAGCATGGCTTGGAGATAGTGTGACTATTTAGTCGTGGTCAATATCAGATGCAAATTTGACCTAATCTTGGTCAAACTATTAGAAGTGTGTTTCAATTGCAACTATTTGTGGCAGTGAGATATTTCTCAAGCAGTGACTATCCAAGGGCATGTTGTCTTGTGCTAGAATTCATCAGGCTATCAAGAAATGATTAATGAGATTCAGAAAATTATGGAAAAGTTCAAGTGAATTTAAATGGCGGGTTCTTTAGTTGTAAGTTATTCAGTGGTCCGAGATTTGTTCATCCATTTTATCAAAGGTTGGTGAAGGAATCAAAGTGTGGCTTTTGGGTCAGATTTAATTGAGTCAACATAATTTGTAAAACAATCAAGTCCACGTGAGCAAGTTCATGCTACATGCAATACATGAAGCCTTGCCATCAACATAAAAAGAACTCATGCACATGTATGCTAGTTGTGAAATCAAACATAGCTCAAAAAGAACTAATAAAACAGAAGATTCTACAGTTGTGCAGGATATTATTTTACAGGGTACAAATTTAAATCAACAAGATCATGATGCAGATGTTGGACTCTGGTTGAGGCACGTGTATACCAAGCAGATGTCCACACTGAAGGATTAAACTTGTCTCTGTCTCAAATCTCTAGCAAATGCTCTGCGTTCCTTGCCAACGTTGATGAACACAAAGCAACAGCCGTGACCTTTCATGGTCAAACATACATTATACCACCATGGTCTGTGAGCATATTTTCATATTGCAGGAATACAGTTTTCAATACTGCTAAGGTTGGAGCACAAACTTCAGTCAAACTTGTAGGGTCTGATTTGCTGCCATTTGCATCTATTTTTTGTTGGTGATTTTAGTATCATCAATGTATTTTAATAGTAATGTGATTTACTGAAGGGCGATGCAATTATGCGTTAAGCTTGAAAACGAGTTAGGGTAGTGTGGAGTGCACGCTCGTCGAGCCAACGTGTAATTGAATGCGAATAATTGAAAAGGGGTTCCGAGGGGAGAAGCCCCTGGCGGGGTGCGGGGCAGCGCCCAGCGCCCCGTTGGGGTTCCAAGGGGCAGAGCCCCTGGCTGAACAGTTTATGAACAGTTGAACCCTTTCTCAACCAACTTAACCATTTTCTAAACAGTTGTGTCTTTTCGATTTTTGTTATTAATCTCCTATATAAGGAGTCATTTGGCCTCAGTTTAAATGACTTAACAAAAACCATACTTTCTCTCTACATTTCTGATTTGTTCTCTATTGCCAAAAGCAGATTGTTCTTCAAGTATTATCCCCACAAAGATTTCGTGAATCCAGGTAATAATAGGATCGAAATACTTTGTTCGAAAAGTGTACGAGCACAACTCCTCAAAGTTATCTAGAATTATCATACTCAAATATCTAACACAAAGCAATTCAATTAAATAAATACTTGAAGAATTAAATTCCAAAGACTCAGGCAAATAATATGCAAATGCTTAAACCATAGGAACCACGTCAAAGAGATGATAGTCACAAGATAAAATATAGAGCAACATATGTACATGGATTTATCCCCGTATATGGAAAAGCCCATCCACATAACTGGGAATGATGTAATGCTTTGCTACCTCAGTCAATTTCACCTTTCCTATTGCTACCTCAGTCAATTTCACCTTTCCTATTCATCAAGTCATGATAGTATAGTAGTACGCACATAGGTTGACCAAGAATACAAAATATGAACCAAAAAATCATATTTCCAACCTGTCAAGAAGAAAATAACAATATAAAACCAATAAAACAACTTGAAGATAATGAGTATATAATAGACTATTAATAAACTAAAATTCTTGAATAGAACATCTCACAAACATACCATTGAGTTTCTGTATTTATTTTGCAGGTAATTAGTGATCAAGACCAGAGGAACCTATATATAGCACAAAAACATCATAAATACATGTCAACTGAGACCGCAGAAATTTGTCTAGAAAATTTCTCTCGCTCACTGTAGAAGAATAGAAATCATCACTTCAGATTTTCATTTCCTGTTTGGGTTAAAGTTTATTGTTTTGGGGGTTGGCTCCACAAAAAAAAGAGTAAGTTCTGTATTTAAGATAATAACTGAAGCGTCTATAATAGCCAACTTCAACGGACAAACAGGAGGAGAATGTGACACTAAGCCTTTACCTGAAACATAATTCCAATAAAAGCCCACATCTTGAACATGCGGCAAGGAACAGCAATGCATAACTACATTCAGATGAAAGAAAGTTTATGAGCAAATTTGCTAAATGCTTCATTGAAAATATAATTACAACGAATATATGATGTTATAACTACAGAATTACAATAACTCAACTACAGAAAACATGATAACTACACAGGTAGAAACTAGAGTATACGACAGTTTGATGAAAGCCATATAAGAATCCAGTTTTAAGATATCGACTGTAGTATCAGTATCATCTATCAGATATGATGTTAACTGTTGTCCCAACATTTACAATGGATTTCCTTGATTTTCTATGACAGGCCTTTAATATTTTAGATATTCTAAAGAGGACGACTGAAGGCATTAATAGTTAATGAGTTTAATAGGGATTCTAAATATAACGCTGCATTTGAGGAAGTAATTAACAAGTTGGTGAGAGTTCATTTGAAGTTGTCCACCGTTTAAAACCATGCCAACCTAATGATTTTCTGCCTTTTCCAACTTATTGTGTGGCCCTCTCAAGCTTATTGAATCCTTCGCTGCCCATATTCTTGATTTTGATTGGTATTCAAAATTAGATATAAGCTTGCTTTGAGCAGTAATAAATATAAGTTGAATAATGATATGCATTTTTCAGGGAAACAAGAAAATTAGTTTTATAGATGTGCAACATCTAACACCTTATCAGGGCATAAGGCATATTTGAGCCTCTTTTATCATCTTTAGTTATTTTTTGCGGCCAAAATTCTTCTCTTTCCTTTGAGTCTTTAGGAGAGGAGATGATTGAATTATTTAGTTGTTATTTCATATAAAATTCTTCTCTTTTATTATTTTGATTTGAGTTTTTTTTATCTTATTCCTTTTCTGGATTATCTTATTCCAACTAAGAATAAGAATGTTTTACTAGACTGACTGGCGATCTCAAGCCTATAAATAGTTATTCAATGTCAACAACTGAGATGCTTTTCATTAATATGATATCAGGTTTTTGTTTAATACCGGTGTGTCTCAAATTTGAGCAAGAAAAGAACTTCATATTAGAGAACTTAATCGAGAGAGTAGTCATCAAGAATAATATTTCACATTTGTAAGCTTGACCAAAGTAGCCACAATTCAATCAATTTCTAAAGGTCAGGTAGCATAGTTTGTTCAAGCCAGCTTGTTAACAGAGATAGATAGGGTGACATAATAATTCATAAAAATGTAAAGTAAAATTTTCGAATCCTCGATCTAGTAATGGGATATTGTTCTAAAGCACCATAAAAGACACAAACTCAGTTGTCCATTTCAAATAGATGGAAACATACATCGAACTCAACAGAAGTGAACCTGATAGAGATGGGCCTGCTAACCCTGAACGCAAGACAACTTTGGTAGTTAATGAGGATAGGCCTGAAATGTGGATGGAGTGTATCACAGGAAACGTGGGAAGGCAAAGAGTGATGAGCTGACATCTACATGTAAGAGAAGACACTTGATGCATAAGGGAGTGAAGTAAGGAAGTTAATAATTTAAGGAATAATGAGAGAAGGGAACCTTAAAATTTTGTTACTGGTGAGAGAATTGATCAGTGAGAAGGATTCTCTACTGAGGGAGCCAGTTATTTTTAGTGCTTACACTGAACTTGTCCTTCCATATTCAGTAGTATAACAGTGTTGCCATATTTTTCATTTCGTCTCTATTAGAATCAAACAGAAACAAGCTTAAAGTATCTGAACTAAGTAGGTGTTTGGAAGAGCTTATTTGAGCTTAGCCCATGCATATAACATGTACTACCTCCGATCCAGTTTATAAGGGAAGAAAATTCATTTTTATTGCCCCATATTTTAAGCAAAAAAAACCAATGTTTACACTATTTAATCATGTTATTCCAAAATGTCTCTTTTTCAAGAATTGCTTTTACTTATTCTGATGAAATCGAATGCAAATTGTATTTAATTTCCTCTCCCTCCCATTTTCTCCTTAACCAATAACCAATAAAAATGTTTACATATTCCTATAAAACTTATTCCAAGGACAAGACAAAAAGTTATACTCCTAATAACTATGATTTGGTTTTCTTAATAGATGTGAATTAGTAATTTTTTTCCTTATAATTTGGGATGGAGGGAGTATGTTAGTGTTTGGATACTTAAGATAAAAATAACTTATAAACATGTCCATAAGTTGTTTTTAGATTATGTAAGCTCCCCATAATAGTTCATGACTAAGAATTTGATTAAACTACAAAAAATAGTTTATCTAACATGTATTTAATAGAGCTGCAAGCTCTGAGTTCCAAATATCTTGAAGCCCAACTTGAACAAGGCTCAATGTGGAAAAATGTTCTTGGGAAGACACCGACAGACTATGGGCAGCACAGCAGCCTGACACATTGGAAAGGCACCGGGAGAGAATGACAACCACACACACCAAGGAGATGACTGAAGGATGTGCATTGAGCATTGGTTGATGGTGCAGCCCCTGGGTTTTCCGATCAGAAGCCTCTGAGTCGAAAAGGAGAAATTGTGAACAAAAAACCTTGAGCAATAAAGCCGGTATTATTATGAAGAAACACCCACAACCACAAATGAGGATATGTTGTGGAAAACAGGGTTCAGTTATTGCTAGAAGTGGGCCAAGCAAGAATGGTCAAAGGAAGATAGGATTTGTCTCCGCAAGCAAATGCGGAAGACCTATGCTCATTATTTAGAAAGTATCAAAGAAAGGTGAACAATACACCTCTAGGGAATAAAGTTTTCTTCCTTAAAAATGTAAAAAACAAACAAAAATAAAAGCAAGAGGGATATGATAGACGGGGAGACATAAATAGAGATGAACCACGCACCTCATGGAACACGGCAGAAACCAGGAAAGCAATCAAAGCAGAAGCACCCTGTATATGATGAAAATCAGAATCACAAACACAGAGAAACAAGAGACCTAAATTTAATAAGAGATCATCCAATCCAAGTCAATGTTAAACAATAATGTTATTAACATGTAGCTTAATGCAGAGACCTAAAAATGAAGCACAGAAAGTATAACACTATAGGAATAAAGCAAGCTTAATTGTCTTCTTTAATCATGTCAATCTACACGTAAATGCATATGCTGCTACAGAAGCCAAAGCCATCTGAAGTAACGACAGAAAAAACTAATTTTTTTGATGTCGTGCATCAGTTGAAAACTTTCCACTGATGACCAAGTAATCAATATGGGATGGACAATTCAGCTGAAACAAAAGTAAATGAACATGAAGAGAAAAAAAAGATGAAATAGGGGTCAGATTTTAGAAAAATCACATGTTAAGTTAACATAAGTTTGCAGAAAATTGTATATTTTATTCATTGATTTCAGCGTTGGAAAACATTAACTTGCTTGATGTTAACAATATTTCCCAAACAAGTTTATTCGTACTCTAAAAATGTCAAATACAAGTAATGCATAAAAAGATAATCTGTTTATTTTTACTATATATGTTTATTTATAATTTAGTTATCCTAATTAGCAACTTCCTAAAGAAAGAAACTATGTGTTAGAATCAAGTAAACAGGTAGATATTCTAGATTGGTTGTTAGTATAGAAATATGCTTTTTCTATTTTGTATATGTTGTAACACAGTACATATGAGGTATTTGTAGAATATAAATTACACTAGGAAATAGGGGTAATTATTCTCCCTATAAATGCTAATCCTAAATAAGGTAAGAATATAATAATTATGTTAATTTCTATTTAATCACAATTTAAATCCAGCCATAATGAGCTGTATGACAGAATCTGTTTTGATTTTGTGCTAATATTCAACACTCCCCCTCAAGCTGGCATGAATATATTGTTCATAGCAAGCTTGCACACCATGTTATCAATCAGTCTCTTTGGAAGACTCTTTGTGAGAACATCTGCTACTTGACTTTTGGTGGGTATGTAGGACATACAAATCTCACCGCTGTCAATTTTTTCTTTGATGAAATGCTTGTCCACTTCAACATGCTTTGTCCTATCATGTAGGACAGGATTATGGGCAATAGAAATAGCAGCCTTATTATCGCAGTAAACTGTAATTGGAGTTGGGCCAAAAAACTTCAATTCTTCCATGAACTTTTTGATCCATAATACTTCACAAAAACCATGGGCCACAGATCGAAATTCAGCTTCTGCACTACTCCTGGCTACAACATTTTGTTTTTTACTCCTCCATGTAACTAGATTTCCACCTACAAAAGTACAATATCCTGAGGTAGACCTTCTATCATTTATATTACCTGCCCAATCAGCATCTGTATAGGCTTCAACCTGTATATGTCCTCTATTTCTGAATATCAGCCCCTTTCCCGGAGTATCTTTCAAATATCTTAATATTCTGAAAATAGCTTCAAAGTGGGCTGCACCTGGTGCATGCATAAATTGGCTTATTACACTCACTGCAAAGGCTATATCTGGCCTTGTATGTGACAAATAAATTAGTCTTCCAACCAATCGTTGATAACGTTCTTTATCTACTATTTCATCTTCAGCAACTGACTTTAGTTTCACATTGGGATCCATTGGTGTTTCTACTGCTTTACACCCTGTCATCCTTGTTTCTGTAAGTAAATCGAGTATGTACTTGCGCCGGTTGAGAAAAATCCCTTTTTTAGATCTTGCGAACTCCATCCCAAGAAAGTATTTTAACTTTCCAAGATCCTTGATATCGAACTCAGCCTCAAGTCTACTCTTCAGATCACTAATTGCTTTGACGTCATCTCCTGTAATAATATGTCATCAACATACACTATTAAGATAGCAATCTTACCTTCAGATGAGTGTTTAAAGAACATAGTGTGATCTGCTTGATTTTGGGTGAAGCCATGTCTCTTAACAACACTTCCAAATCTCTCAAACCAGGCCTTTGGCGATTGTTTCAATCCATATAGGGATTTTCTCAATCTGAATACTTTGTTTCTTCCAAGATTTTTTTCAAATCCAGGAGGTAAACTCATATATACTTCTTCATGTAATTCACCATTCAAGAAGGCATTTTTAACATCATATTGATATAGTGTCCAGTTGAAATTTACTGCAAGAGAAAGAAGAATTCTGATAGAATTGATCTTAGCAACCGGGACAAAAGTCTCTTGGTAATCAATACCATGAGTTTGAGTAAATCCTTTTGCTACTAATCTCGCTTTGTATCTTTCCACACTTCCATCAGCCTGCATTTCACTGTAAAAACCCACTTACACCCTACTGCCTTTTTATCTTGTGGTAGATCAGTGATACTCCAAGTGTTATTTTTGTTTAGAGCATCCATCTCTTCTTTCACTGCTAATTTCCAATTCGGATCACTTAATGCTTCCTGAATAGTTCTGGGCACAAACAAATTAGAAACCCTAGACACATATGCCTTGTGGGTGTGTGATAGTTTGTCATATGACAAGTAATTAGACATAGGATGTTTAGTGCACATACGAGAACCTTTCCTCTCAGCAATTGGGACAGCGAGGTCAGGAATATTTTTTCTCATTGAAATTGGAAGATTAATATCAGGAAAAGACAAATCAGATAAATCTTTGGATGAGTAAGAAGGATTACTAGATGAAGAACTAGAAGACAGATTATCTGTAGGACCTTCACTTGGTAAATCAGATTGGATTTCTACTGGAGAGACAATAGGGTTTCCACCACCTTTGTGGAATTTTTTTCGAACATACACTTAAGTTCACGATTATCATCCTTAATCAGTGTTTCTCCCCCTGTTTCAGATTCTATTATCTTAGCATTTGGGTGATTTATAGTCACAATATCATCTGGAGCAGGCAAAGTTTCCCAAAAATTATCTTCTTTATTATTACATTGACTCTCCCCCTGAAGAGAATTTTTAAAAAAAGGTTGATTTTCAACAAAGTGAATATCCATGCTTTCAAAAAATTTCTTTGTAACTGGGTTAAAACATTTGTATCCCTTTTTATTGGAAGCATAGCCAAGAAAAACACATTTTTCGGCTTTAGGATCCAACTTAGAACGAAAAACATTGGGGATGTAAACATAACAGAGACAACCAAAAGTTTTAAGGGGAAGATCCGTAATAATACGAGATGTAGGAAAATTGTTTTGTAACACTTGTACAGGACTTTCATATTGTAACACCCGAGATGGCATTCGATTGATGAGGTGACAAGCAGTTAATAGAGCATTTCCCCAAAGATACTTAGGTACATTCATAGAAAACATAATAGCTCTAGTAACTTCGAGGAGATGTCTATTTTTTCTTTCAGCAATACCATTTTGTTGCGGAGTATCACGACAAGTGGATTGATGAATTATCCCCTTAGTTACAAGGAATGTACTTAAATATTTGTTGAAATATTCAGTGCCATTGTCAGACCTTAGAATGCCAATCTTAGTTTGAAATTGATTGTTAATCATGTTAAAAAAATCTTGAAATCTTTGTTCAACTTCTGATTTTTTCTCCATGAGATAAACCCAACACAGCCCTGTATGATCATCAATAAATGTTACAAACCATTATTTTCCAGACATAGTTTTAATTTTTAAAGGACCCCAAACATCACTGTGAATTAAATAAAAAGGTTTAGAAGCATAATAGGCTTTTGATTTAAAAGACACACGATGATCTTTAGCTAAGTGACAAGCTTCACAATGAAATTGTGAGGAATTTATTTCTTTGGAAAAAATAGGAAACAAATGCTTAAGATATGAAAAACTAGGGTGACCTAATCTTTTATGCCATAACATAATTTGATCTGAAACAGGAGATGAGTTTGTATTGTTTGAACCGAAAAACGCTTTATTGCCAAACTGAATTCCATCAAGGTAGTATAATCCATTCATCTCTCTAGCAGTTCCAATCGTCTTCCCCGAGTTTTGGTCCTGAAAAACACAAGTAGAGGGACGAAAAAGAACAGAACAATTAGTGTCCTTAGACAATTTATGAACAGATAGAAAATTACAAGCGAATTTAGGAACATGTAAAATAGATTGCAAAGTGATTTGCTCTGAAATTTTTATGCTGCCTTTGCCTGCAATACTTGAATAACTACCATCAGCTATCCTAACTTTTTCAAAACCTGAACTAGGAAAATAGGTAATGAATAGATGAGAGCAATTAGTCATGTGTTCAGATGCCCCTGAATCTACTATCCAAAGGTTAGAGTGGTTGTGAACAGATAGTGCCCAAGAATCCTTACCTGTTTGTGCCACAGTTCCAGTAGGAATATTAAGAGATGAGTTGGACTTTAGAAACTTAAGAAGGTTATCCATTTGCTCCTTCGTACATGAAGACGAATCAGCCTTATTGGCCATAGGCATAGGACGATCACCAAACTTACCAGCCTTGCCATGATTTGGTCGCCCATGTAGTTTGTAGCAAGTTTCCCGAGTGTGGCGATTGCACCCACAGTAATCGCAAAATAAATGAGTCTTGTCTCCACCTCGTTGATTATGAAGTGGTTTACGATTGACATGGGGAATTGCCAAGGCAGATCCTTCAACTGGTGGAGGGACAGCTGTTGTATTTTTGCCAAGCATCACTTGCCGACGACTCTCTTCGCGACGTACTTCTGAAAAGACTTCACCAATTGGAGGGATAGGATTTTTGCCTAGAATTCGGCCACGAACCTCATCAAAATCAACATTTAGACCTGCAAGGAACTTGAAAACACGACTAACATCCACCATCTTCTTGTAATGTTTGCTATCGGCAGGTGATTTCCACTCATACTCATTGAAAAGGTCCAAATCTTGCCAAATACGTTTGAGACAATTGAAGTATTTGGTGACTGAATCTTCACCTTGCCGAATTTCTCCCAATTTGGGAGTTAATTCGTAGATTTGGGATTGATTTTCCAAATCAGAGTACATTTGGGAGACACCTTCCCAAAGTTCTTTTGCAGTATCATAACAGAGATACCTATCTCTTCATCCATGGAGTTGACTAACCATGTCATGACCATGGAGTTTTCAGCATCCCATGTATCATAATCTGCACCTGCCTTGTCTGGTTGTTTTTTGTCGCCAGTGATGTAGCCAATCTTTCCTCTCCCCCTGAGATACATACGAACGGATTGTGACCATCGAAGATAATTAGCACCGTTCAGCCGAATTATTGTGATCTGAACAGGGTGGTTTTCATGGTACGTCCGAACTAATTTAGGTTCGGGTGAGGAATGTTTGGGTGAAAGTGAGGACTCGGTATCAGACATTGTGGGATGTAAAAAAAGATAAACAGAGCGGAAGCAAAAACAAAAAAAACCCTAAAGGATTCTTATTGCTACTGATACCATATAGAAATATGCTTTTTCTATTTTGTATATTCTGTAACACAGTACATATGAGGTATTTATAGAATATAAATTACACTAGGAAATAGGGGTAATTATTCTCCCTATAAATGCTAATCCTAAATAAGGTAAGAATATAATAATACAGTTAATTTCTATTTAGTACCAATTTAAATCCAGCCATAATGAGCTGTATGACAGAATCTGTTTTGATTTTGTGCTAATATGATTTTGTGCTAATATTCAACAGTTAGTATTCCTAGAATATACAACTTCATAGGTTAGTGCTATACATTAGGCATTCTGTGTATTTATTGTAATGCCCACTATGAATACAAGTTGTGTAGAACTCTTAGAAATTCCGCCTTCAATAAGATCCGCCCCTAGTCACCTAATTGCAGCATTTAGGTTGCTTCATTGCAGCCTCCAACACCTTCACTGTGTTAGGTCTGAAAGGGCAGATTTAGTCTCACGTTGCTAGATATGACCAATGTAGTGTTAATAGAGCTTGGGCAACCCTCATCTTACAAGTTGGTTTTGTAAGGTTGAGTTAGGCTCAACCTAAATTCTAAGATGATAGCAGAGTTTATCCTGGATCTATAGTTGGACTTCCAACATCGTCTACGCTTCAGGCCCGGGTGTGCCTTCAACTTCCAACACCTTCATGATTACCAAATTCTACCTTACATGCCAGTTTTGTTGAACTAGACTCAACTCAAATTCCAAAATGATATCAAAGCTTATCCAAGATCTTTTTGGCCACCTGCTATCAGGTTTCCACGGTCGGGTCACTTTACAAGTCGGTTTTGTAAAGTTGAGTTGGGATGGCTGCTAGGGATTGTTAGTATCCTAAAATACTCAACGTCCTATGTTAGTGCTAACTCTTTAAGCATTAACACCTCTATGAATACAAGTAGAGCGGTCTAAATAAAGATACACAGAATTTACAGATTTACACTCTGAAGACAGGATTTTAATGTGTCTAAAATATGCTTGGAAAGTATAGCTCAGAGTACACTCAGCAAGATAGGTCGATGCTTGATTACCTTGGGTATACCAAACCTTATACAGGGAAAATACACGTGGCGAACCATCCATTTATGCACCGGCTGCAATATGAAAGAATCCACTCAGTTGAACATTAATGGATTAGAACTTCACAATTATTTAAAACTTTCTGATATATTCTGAAGTCTGGTTCCATATTCATATACTCATAAAATGCTGGAAAAGTAAGCCACAAAGTCATAGATGAAAAAAGAAACTTCCTGGCTTAGATAACATATTAAATTAGCCTTATATATCATCCATTGATAGAGTATTCAGTATAGAGTATTGTGTGTGTATGACTAGGCCTTGTGTAGAGTTTCTAAAATATTCTAATCATGTTAGTTTTTAGAATAGTACAATTATGCTGTGGTTCCTGTTAAAAAATGACAGATGATTATCTGTTGTTGTTGCTGTTAAATGTCAGATGATTAGGAGTTACAATTCTGTTAAGGCATGCTAGTGTCTTGCGAGGCAAGCTGCAAATTATGAATAAATACTATTGAAAACTCAAATTATTTAGAAAAAATTAATTTAGAAAGTAATGATGATGTATATCGAATTCGCTCAAATCTGAGGCTGATATCAAATATATGTGTTCATAATAACTTCATCCAAGATTGAAAAAGGAAACATACCATATTCCACATCCTCCAATACTGACGACAGCAGCAGCATAAATGCATTCAACAAAAACGAGTCATTGGTTTTCTTCATGGAAGTATTGTAACTAAAAAGACCCAATAACAAAACAGGACAAAAAACCTACCTCTTCAACTGTTTGGGCATTCCACCAATCTTTGTAGAACTCACGATCACCAAACCGGAGAAGCTCCGCAAGTATATTTAACCTATATTCCAATAGTGGCTCTAAGGATTAAATGCTGTACCTGTTTTTTTATTAAAGCTAAATGTCGTAACTTATAATGTGAAAAAACTATCAAAGCAAAGTTTTACTTTTAATACAATATAATTAAATAAGACAGACAGATCAGAATATAATAGGCAGCACTTATGCATGCAAGTACAAGTCTAAATTATTTCGTTGCAGAATAATTTTATAAATGGGAAGAAAGAAGAGTTGGGAAAAATAGAACAAGATGTCCTCATGGCTCAGGCAAAAAATACTCAAGCTCATCAATAAAATAAAATTTTCCATTTCATAAGTGTTAAAAAATCAAGCAATAACAGACACATAAATCTTTTGAACGTTGTCAGAGTAGCAGCTAGTTTTGATGCCTATTGCTAGTGATGACATGAACAATTTTCAAGTCAATGCACACAATTAGTACTATGATACACAATTGTATGGTCAGTGAAGGCAATTTAATTCTAATATGTTTTTAAAAGAAAACTGTATACATAAATATTGAACCAAGACAAAGAGGAAATATATACCAAAGATGGAAAAAGCAGTAGAACATGCAGAGCCATACATAGACGTTTGGAACAGAAAGCTTCAAAACTCTCTCAATGGCATATAGAAGGTTTCCCTTCAAAGGATGTTGTGAATTTTGGACAATAGGATTCATATACTGCAAAATTATTTAAACAAAACAGAGCAATGTCATCACTCAGAATATCTACGTTTAGTTGAATGGAAATTTGAAGGGAAAAAGGATAAAAATGACAATTACATTTATTAACAGCTACTTCTTACTTGTTCAATTATAAATCCCATAACTCCTGTAAATATTATCAGCTTGAGAAGTTGTCGAAAGACCCAACCCTTTCGAATCGCGGGTGTGCGAGGATAGCTTGGCTATAACATTAATTCATCATATAAGAAACAGAAGTGCAAAATACAAATCAATATCATAGTTTTCTCCCAAAACATTCCATGTATAGAAGGCTGAAGAGGAATTTTTGGAATAAAAAAATTATATTAATGCTGATGTGAATGTTAAAATAGATTAAAAAAAAATCTGCATTTACATTTATAAAGAACTCTAATCTTAATTCAATAAATAATAAATTTATAAAATTAGAGAAATTAAAAAGGTAAATCTCAAGTACCCAGGAGTTCTATTTGGGTTCCGGTGCCTTTTGGCAAAATGTACTTAAAATTTTCATTTATTTTAAACTAAATTATTATTAAAAAATGGTATGTCATTCCATGAATGGGTGATGGATAGGTACCCAACCAAACTCTAGGGATACCAGAGTGTTCACTAATTAAAAAACCAAGTTAATATTTGTAAATACTACAAATTATGTTATAGAAGAATGATGATTGTGAACTATTTTGGCGATATTCCAGCACTCAACCTCAAGTGAAAGTTTCCTATGTTTTAAGCCTGCTACACATATGAAACCTTAAAGGAAAATGCGTATGGACCTCACTTAACGCCATTGGAAAGTATAATTAGACAAAGTTGAGGACGAACCACATCAGAGAAAAGAGTAAAACTAGATTACATGTGGCACAATAGTTGGGTTTAGACCACATTTGGGACAAGAGCTAGGGCCAGACCACATCTAGCACAAGAGAAAAGAGTAAAACTAGATTACATGTGGCACAATAGTTGGGTTTAGACCACATTTGGGACAAGAGCTAGGGCCAGACCACATCTAGCACAAGAGCTGGAGTCAAATTGTATATGCGAAATAATCTGAGGCCAATTACAATTGAGATAGAAGGGTCGGACCACAACCAGATAAGAGTCGAGGTAAATTACATCTGAGATAGGAAAAACAAAATTACATCTAGGACAGCTGGGACCAAATGCATCAAAGATCAGAGTCAGAAGCCAGCAGGGGCTATAAAAGCTTAGCAGATGGCTAGAAGTAGGAAAGAATAGATGGTGGGACGAATTGATTTGAGTATCAGAGACAAGTTGTAGAGCAGTACATTGAAAAAAAACCACTGATAAAGACAAAACTTGAGAGAAAGGGTGTGCAGCAGATTACAAGAGGACCTCTCTCTAACTAAAAACCTCAAGCTCATCCCAAACCAAAAATATAGCCATAAATAAGTCTATAAAACGTACCTTGTATGTGCTTCAATCAGAAACAGTAAATGCATAAAAGAGATGAATCTAAAAGGAGACAACAATGACCAAATAATTTTACATGCATGATTTATATATATCAATACTTAAGTTAAAACATTTGTTACCTGGTAGCACAAAGTAGGAGCAACCATGAAGTATGCCAAACTCTTGAAGTTCACATTGTGTGGGTACTCCTCCGTATTCAAAGTATTGGGCACTGTTTCACCCTATACCACAAGTAACATGATTCAATAAGAGGAAAAACATAACTTTTATCAGACACTTGTTTGACCAGATTATAGCATAATGCCACTACACCATGCAGCAAGAAACCAATATCAGAGGATTGAAGGGGGGAAGCAGAATGAATTTTGTTATAACAATTTGGAAATAAAAGAGTATTTTTCCTGTTCAAAAACTAAACATCACATAGAATGTTTAGCATAACCTCTTTAAATATATTTATCGAAATACTAGCCACTACCTTTGCTACTTTTTCATTTGAAACTGTAAGAGCTCTCATATCATAGGTTGTATGTGCATATGACACCAGCTTTAACCACACAATGCAAGTCAATAGCATCAACGTGGCCCCTGATAAAAAAGCAGAGTCACACCTGCACGGCTAAGCAACGGATCCATAAGATATCTTTGCTATACCAATACACATGAAATGATCAAGAACCTTTGATTATAGATGTTATATCCACGAAGCATACATTTTTTTAGTATCCCTCATAAGAAAAATCACTAATTAAAAAAGTGACAGATGTGTTCAACTGTTATGCTGAAGAAACACAAGGATTTACTTTGATTGAATAGTCACTTAAAAGCTTGAAAATGGTACAAGAATGTCTGTCAATTGCCTTTATCACATGACATGAACAAGTATGAAGAAGCCACAAAGTTGTTTCCAATTGTCCGTTCCCTTGACTTTATCTTCTGTATTTTTAATTATAATAATTTGAAAAATAATTTAACTTCTACATTGCATTACCCAAACACTAAAATGAGGATCCCCAAGCTGCTTTGAAACTTTTCTTGTATGAAGCAAAAATAATGTTTAAACATTCGTTCCTAGATAGTGGTATAATTTCATGACTATAACATGTTGAGACTGAAGCTTATGTATTTAAATCTTCAAATATTGACGTTGACATATGCTACAAACATGTGTGATCACAATTTCCATAAAAAGAATCTAGATAGAAGCACAGGAGTCAACTTTTAAAGTGTATACTGACCAGAGGATTACTAAAACTGGATAGATAATTGCAACTGTTGTAATAACAACATGAAGTAGAACAACAACCTGCATTATTCAAGTCAATATTCCCATGCATGTTAGATATGGAAACTATGTGACTAAAAATATTACACAACAAATAACTATACTCTGAAACTGTTGTTACTTGCACAACAATCAAAGAACATAAGTGGTTAGAGAGCACTTATTTTCCCCATGAAATGAAATATAATAAAATTTTACAAGGGAAAATCACTTACTGGTTCAGAAATACTCTTTTGTTGCGCTAACTTCTCGACTACAAAGGCGGCTAGTGGAAATATTGCAAGACTAAGACTGTGAAATAAGCATAAATATTGTTACAGAATGTCAAATGACAGTATAAATATATTCTTAAAGGGGATCATCAAACTCATTACCAACACATGAAGAGTGGCCAATCCCTGAACGATTTTGAGCTAAACCAAAAGCCGGATCTAATCAACCATCCATACTGCAAAACATATAATTATATATAAAAATAAAAATTAAAACAGAAAATTAAAACCGCTAACACAGATAAAGACATTTTTTAATAAAGTTGGAAATTCAAATTTTGCAGGATATATAGACATTATCAAGAATAAAATGTAGAAGAAAACCTTCATCAAATTCTCAATAATGAGCCTGCTGTTTACCGCAACAAGCACCACAATACAGAGATTGAACAGTCCTGCATGACTCTGTAATTCATTGATCAGTAATTAGCAATTATTCATAAAACAAAACAATTATAGAAAATGCCAAATCAACCTATAAGACAAAAGTAATTAAGACAAATTCAAAAGTACCATTTCCTTTAATTAAACACATAATTAATCAATTAATCAAGTAATCAAACAGCATACTGTATACAAAAAGAAACAAGTAACATGCAACCAAGAGTAAACAACAAAATCTATATAAAATACAACATATCTTTTAAATTAGTTATTTTATATTATAATAAAAATAGCTTATAATTTTCTCAACTCCAAAACCTCACCAACTCAATGATATTTCTATAAAAATAACAATAGAACAAAAATATTTCTACTATTTTAATTACTGAATATTGAAAACTGTTTACATAGGCAACAAAATGCGATGAGCTACAGTTATGCTACGAGCCATGCAAAACTGAAATCAGCAAACAAAGCGAGAAATCAACCTGTCTAAATATGTTGCCGGAGCTAAGAGGACTCTCTTTGTTTCTCCGGTGAGCGGGAACTGAAGGACGGTAAGTGAATTTGAAATCGGCGACTTTTTCCCGATCAATGACGTCATTCTGATCGTCATTACCAATTTCTGCATGATTCGTTTTTCGATCCTTAACCTCTTCGCTGTTCTTACCGTTCAACGAATCGTCGGAGCCGGAATCTCTTATCGCTTCTTGAGCTGCACTTTCGGCGTCGAAAAGGCCTCCGGATGACGTGGCGCTCGGTCTTCTCCGTAGAGAAGAATGCTTGAGATCTGAATCGGTTTGAACGGTAGTTACGGTGGCAGTTGCGGTTGTTCCCGTACTTTCCGGCCCATCGGAATTAGCCATCCGGTGAAGTGTAACGGAACTGACGTCGTGGAATGAAACTAAACTAATTTTTGTTTTTCTGTTCTAACCGACTGAGAAAAGTGCTTTATGAGGAAAGAGAGAAGAAATCAATGTGAAATAAAAAAAAATGAAACCAGGTTGTGTGGTATAGAAATAGAATTTCAGAAAGAAGAGTATTTAAGCTCTAATTTTATTTGCGGTAATTCATAGATTAAATTTAAAAAAATAAATGAAAGAGAGAAAAAATGGGGGGGGGGTGTTGTTTTGATTTGTGTTGCTTGTAATGAGAGTGTGACAAGGAAGAAGAGTCATATGTGTACACTATTATTGAAATTGTGATTCACACAATGTCGACATCGATTTCAGAAAAAAAATAACAAATATATGATGAAAAAGAAAAATATAATTTGTAAATAAAAATCTGTAAAATATCATATAATTTTATATTTGTTTCACTAAACTGGTATAACACCGAATTTAATTAAATATATATAAGTTTTAGGTAATTTAAGGGAATCAGCTAAAAAAATGCATGTAAATAGATATATGCTAGTGGTAATAAAGATATACTGTAGTGAATAGTGAGTGAGCGGAAAATTTGGAATATGTTTTGGCATCTTTGTTAATTTATGTATAGTGTTTTGTTTTGGGTGTGTAAATTGCGATTTTGTTAGTGATTTAAGATTTTTAAGAAAGATAAAAGAGTGCTAGTGAGTGTGAAAGTAGATTGTGACAGTGGGGTTTAAAGGTTACTCCATCGGAGGGAAGAAAGTACACGAGAGAGTTGCATTTTCACAATATCACGTTAACTAATTGTTCTGGAAATCACCATCCTATCCTTTATCTATTTTGCTCCACATCGTTAATTTTTCTGAAAATTACCATCCTACCCTTGTTTATTTTGCTCCACATAATAAATTGTGTGACGAAAACATGTCTTTTACCTTTTATTTCAACCTATTCATTCTTTAGTTTGCAACGAACCAATTTTTGCTTAGTAGTGCAACGAATTTTAATATGCAACTCACATGAATCTAAAAACATACATAATTTAGTTATCATTTTTTCATTTCCAATACATCATTGTTCATTGACACTGAAACCACACTGTTCTGATCACATTAAAATCAGTTGTTTCTCTGAATTCACACTGGAATCTTGTTTTTTCTTTAATATACAGATTTTGACAAGACAGGTCAGGAGTTTTGTTAAGATTGTCTCGGTTTTAGAATTTTCCAGAGTCAAATAAGATTACCACCATCGTGTATCTAATAGTTTTGCAAGTGAAATATTTTACACTGTTGTTTTAATTTGTAATTAGGAAAACTCAATGGGTTGGCTGTATCTCATGATCAAGCATATTTATTGTGTATGGTTGTAGCCATATTAATAAAATTTTGCTTCTTAGTGGTTTGCACTTTTATCCGTTGTTTTAAGAGAGATGAAACTTTAGTAAGTAAAAAAAAAATATGAAGTGGAAATTTGATAGAGTTATTTTAATTGAAATTAAAATTAATTTCAAAATGTTTAAGATAAAAATTGTATAATTTTTAAAATTTGTTTGAATGAATAAAAATATGTGAAACAAATAAAAAGCATTTATAACAAAAGTGAATGGTATGAATGTAATATTGTAATACTACAATGATAAATTTTAATACATTAAAATATATTTAATAGTATTAAATTATTTGTATGGTAACATTTATGTGTAATTTATACAAATTTTCAAAGCAATGTGTGAAAAGAATTTTAAATTTCTATTGATGAAAAATGTTATTCATTACTATTAAATTTTATATATATATATATATATATATATATATATATATATATATATATATATATATATATATATATATATATATATATATATATATATATATATATATATATATATATATATATATATATATATATATATATATATATATATATATATATATATATATATATATATATATATATATATATATATATAATGTTAATATATTAAAACACAAAATGTTAATGTGAAAATGATAAAATAGATATTTTATAAAAACTTAAAAAGTATAAATAGTGTAACACCTTAAAACACAATAAATTGTATTAAATTTTTAATTTATGTTAAGATGTTAATCTACTTTTTAGTCCGTATCTTTTTATTTTAATTGAAATTTCTATCATTAAAATAATAAATGCATAAAATAGATCTGAAAATATTTTATAAAAAGTTTAAAATTACAAATAATGTAATACATTTAAACATAATAACTTGTATTAAAGTTTTAGTTTATGGTAAAATGTTACTCTACTTTTTTGTTCATATTATTTTATTTTAATTGAAATTTCATAAAATCAATAAATACCTAAATTGGGCAGGACATAAAATTATAATAAAGTTTGATAGTTATTATAGTAGGTCAAATATTATAAAATTTGATTGTTTTTCTATTGTTGAAATTTATGATAATTTTTGTATATGTAAAAAAAAGTAATGTTGATTCAAATATTTTAATAAACAATGTTATTTTTATAAATGGAAAAAAATGTATTATTGATCAAGTTATTTTTATAAACGGGAAAATATGTATTGTTGATCTAGTTATTTTTATAAACGGAAAAATGTGTATCGTTGATACAAATATTTTAAAAATGAATTTTTATAATAATCAATATAATATTTATAATTAAATTAATCTTTATGAAATTGGTTTTTTTTAATATCATTAAACATTCATGTTTTTTTTAATCTTTATGAATTATATTTTATAAGTGTTGTATGTATGTTATATTATGCAAAAGATTATTACATTAATGTGTCTCATTAATGCAAATATGAGGCAATATACAAAAAAAAAACTTATTTAACTATCTATTAAATTAATTTAAAAACAAATATTAATATAAATATCAAAACACAAATAATCTTTATATGGGAAAAAATAGTCGCATATAATTAAAATGTATTATTAAAAAATTGGCTAAAAATAATATTATGAGTTTAAAATTATTTATAAGATAATATGTGTTACTAATTGTAATTTATATACACTATATTATTTTTTTTAAATGTATTTCGATTGACACTGACCATGATAGTAATACTAACCACTACTACAAAAAAGTTTTTTAATAGCGCTTTTTTTGCTTTTTAATAGCGCTTTAAAGCGCTATTAATCAAGGCGCTATTGTAAAACAAAATTTTTAATAGCGCTTTTGAAAAAGCGCTATTATAAGTCACATATTTGATAGCGCTTTCAAATAAAGCGTTATTATAGCACCGTTAATTTGCTTTAATTTTGATAGCACTTTCAAACAAAGCGCTATTATAATACACATATTTAATAGCGCTTTCAAATAAAGCGCTATTATAAGACAAATATTTAATAGCACTTTCAAAGAAAGCGCTATTATAATTCACATATTAGATAGCACTTTCAAACAAAGCGCTATTAAAATACCGTTAAATTGCTTTAATTTTGATAGCACTTTCTAACAAAGCGCTATTATAGCTACACTTTTTTTTTACACCAAATCATTATATATATATATATATATATATATATATATATATATATATATATATATATATATATATATATATATATATATATATATATATATATATATATATATATATATATATATATATATATATATATATATATATATATATATATATATATATATATATATATATATATATATATATATATATATATATATATATATATATATAATATTGATGCATACAATATATTATAATTTGTTGAGCTAAGAACAAATCATTTACAGATGCATAATACAAGAAGACATATGTCATAAGTCAAGCTAATTAGTAAGTTGAGACATAATTATAGAAGTTTTATAGAAGTTTTAACTGACACTATACATTTAGCAGCAAACTTATGATCCTTAAAATGAAATTCAAGTTACATGATAAAGTTAGTCATCTTGGACTGTTACAGACCTCCAAAACTAAACACAAACTTCATATTATACCATCAAGTTACAAGTGAATTCAAAAACAACAGTATACATTTAACAACAGTATGATACTCATAAAAATACACAACAATCAAGCTACCATGCTATATATTGCAACCATTTCAACTGCTCTCTTGATTCACTCCTTGCAACAGCAATCTGGCAAGAGGTGAGACATTAGTAAAAGATCATAATGGGCTGAAATAGTAGCCAGCAAAGGGCTTGAAATATGTTGTTTCATATCGTTCATGATCACCACTTGCATATGCACTGCAAGTGTTAAGTTGTAGTTTACTCATTGAACTCAAATCTGTGAGACAATTATAACTTACATGGAGTTAATCCAGGAAATTTAGCACATAAAACAATTACAACCTATTGTTAGAGAATACTTACCAATGCTGGAGCAATAGACTTTAACGATGTTTCTGAATCATTTGCATTAGGATAAGTTGCATCCATATTCACTGTACCTGTCTGAAAATGCAAATGTTCTGCTACACCAATAAAACAATAGGCTTTTGGTCAAATACAGTCCTGCTATCAGTAGTTTCTGGACAAACGTAAAAAATAATAGCTTTACCATGATAAGAATCATCAGGATCAGGATTTGCAAGTGACGTATCAATGAATAATGAAATGCAGGAATTTCCATTATAGAATAACATAATGTTTTTATTCTAGCAAGGAATTTCCATTTTGCTATTAAAAGGAGTTATGATATAAATCCCAGGAGATAGAGTAGTAGAAACAAAAAATCATCCATTGAATCATAAAATGCCGCTCAAATATGATATGAAGTGGTCGACATCCTATCTGGGCATGTGGAATGCACTCAGAAGGTATCCATTGTGACATTCATGATGGATCAAGTTTTATATTTTTCTTATTTTGCTCATTTTTTAAGGCCAGTGCTTCAAGTATATTGTATAGTTGCAGTGCCGCAATATGTTCTTTTGCTTTACACTTGTTATGTTATAGATGTGGGTCAAGTGTGTACTCTAGAGAAGACAATCTTGATCGTACAA